CTGCAGGTTTGGCAAGTCTGATCATTATCCTTTTCTGTTCATTCTCTCTGAAACATCTGGCACCAGCCACTGTTGGAAGACAGGATACTGGGCTAGATGGTCTGACCCAGTATGGCCGTTTTTATGTCCTCATGATGGTTCCTTGGAGTCCTCATATTCCTTCAGTACGAGTGCCATGACCAGATATGATGGATCTGCCTTTCTTCCCTTGTTTGTGTACCTTGTGAAGTGTGTAGAAGGCCCCAGAGGTGGGTTTGTGGGGGAGTCTGTCTTTTAGACTGAAAGTGCTGAGAGCCAGGACTGCCTTTATATTCATCTTGTGCTCGTACTAATCTGCATGGCTGAGGCTTCCAAAGATTGAGACTTCCAAGAGTTATTGAAAAAGAAACTCCATTTCAGGTCTGATCTTGAAAATTGCCCAGCAAATACAAGCTAGATCCAAAACATCTCAGCCTATTGTGTATAGAAACTGCAGATTTCTCAGATGTATTATGGTGCTATTCTGAGCCCAACAGAATGAATTACCAATAGTCATTGCAATTTTGTATTTCTTAGCTTTTGTGTTTGCTTCCTTTAATTTATGTATTGGTATTGCCATTTGCATGACTTAACTATAACACACGTATATCCTGTACTAGTGTCTAGATGGGTATTTCTTAGTATAAAACGTAAGGTTCTAGTATTTGATATATTAACAAATTTGTATGTATGCCAACACACCAGGACAGCATGTGCGCGTGAGTACGTATGCATGTTAATATTATTTTGGAGGTTAATGATGAGTCAGATCTTCTCCTGCAGCTAGTAGGGTTACAACAACGCAGGGGGAATAAAAGAGGAGTGGTGCTCTACTGAGACTCCCACCAGTGCCAGACACCAGATCTGCCCTGAAGGGAGAAGGGGTTCACTGAGCAAAGGTGATACCTTGTACGGAAATACTGCTTACACAAGGCAAGGATGCTGTGAAGAGCAGCTCCTGCCCCAGCCCCCACTCTTGATGCCAGAACTGTACCTGCTGAGGGGTTCTGGAGGGATCTGGGGGTGGTGGGAACAAGATGGCTGATCCAGTGTTTCAAATTTTGAAATTTAGGAGGTGGAGAGAAAGGAAGTAAAAATAATAATAATGACATTTCCCCCAACCCTCTCTATCCACATGCCCAAAGTACTCCTCTGAGTGTGACAGGAAGATAATGAGGCTTGATATTTCCTATGCTCATCAGTCTGTCCCAGGTGCTGGAAGTACTGCATCTTCGTTCGGAGCAAAACAGAAGCATACTTAAAAAATCCATCACTTCAAGATGCACATAGATCCTTTGGATTAAGTCTGTTACAACATGCAAAAAAATGATGACACACTGTTTTTGCATGTCTATATGAGCCATCTGCTTAGACTTTATTGATAAAATCCAATAGCAACCATGTGCAGCATAACAAAATAAGATTATTTCTGAGCTTTGAATGGTTATATGGGCACGTATAGTTTCAGTTAGACATTTTGCAGAATCTGGGCTTAATGTTTTTTCCAGTGAGAGCTCATCTAGACATTAATATTCCTAATGTAGCATATAATTAGCAAGAGGCAACATACTACATAATCATGCATGCTAGTACATAAGTTGATTAAAAAAAGTTTTATCTTCAAATAGGCGAAAAGCAAAGTGTAAACCCGTTTCACTCATTCTTTAGTCACATTTTTCACCACAGATTTGCACTGTAGATCTCTCTTTCAAAGCACACATCAAACAGGTAAAATTATGGTCCTGACATTCCAGTCAATACTAGTTATTTATTAACTAGGCAGATGGTACAATTTCAGGTTTAATCTTCGAATGTTACAAAAGTGAAAAAGGAGTCTGAGTTTGATACTTCTCTCACACACAATAATGATTTTCCTCCTGTTACTGTACCACCTTTGGTGGTGGTGGTGATCACCCAAGAATTCATGCTCTAGAAGACTTGCTTTATTCACAGAGAAGTTAGAAATCTGACATGTTATTAATCTGCTTCTGTCACCACTGTCTTAAGTAACCAGTTCATAGATACAGCATGTGCTTATACATCTCAAGTGCTGTAAGACGTACCAATCTCTGTTACTTTTAGTGCATACTCACTCAAATGTTGGTCTGCAAATTATTTAGAATGCTGCTCACGTTGCTATCTGCTTGTGACGTGTGTTACTTATACAATAGCAAGGGGGGGGGGAGAGAATGGGTTAAAACCATCCAGATTTCTCTTCTAGAGACCATGTGATGCTAAACACCATCAATTAGGCCTAAAACGCTGTTCTATGAAAATACCCAGCACTATCTATTTATGTCCATCCACAAGCCAGGTGGAGATGGAGCATTGTAGTATGTGTTTCTAAAGAACATAGAATGAGCTAAATAATGTACAGGAGAAAGATTGGAATATATGTAAAGCCAGTGCATCTCCAGTGTCCAGCTGTAAATGCAACAGTGAGACAATAAAACCTTTACTTGCCAGAAACATTATACTGATCCAATATAGAAAGAGTTCAGTACACACTAGAGATAGCTTATGTACAGTATATTCAAATCAATAAGTCATATATATATATTTCAGTGTGCTTCATGCAAATGCCCTTGGACACTACTGTAAAAAGTTTACATGAGATATAAATTCAATAAAATATTTTAAATGCGAAATCAAATAATTACTTCTTTTATTTTTAATAATGGAGAGCAAGCTAAATTCTCTGCTGGCATCAATGCAGTTACGCCAGTAGAGACTTTGGCCCAGTAAATCTAAAGCCCTCTGACTGCACAGGGTCATGGGAAGTATGTGGTGCATGTCTGTTTGGAAAGCTTGTGCTTGAGAGGCCACATGACAGCAAAAGATTGGAGAACAGGTTTTATCCTGAGCACCATGCACATAAAATATTGCACATTGAACATGAAAATATTGAACATCCTGACGTGGGGCAGATTTCTGCAGTTATGAGCAAGTGGAGATGGGTGAGGTGCAGATGTCTGGACATAGCAATAGGCCTGGACCAACTTATGGGTAGGGCTGGTGAAACATGAGATTGGAGCTGGACCTGTATGCATGAGATTTTTTTGCCCCTACTAATTATGAGTGGTGGAATTTTATAATATGAGAAGTCTCAGAACTGATGGGGGAAAAACATTTGTTCAACAGAGGTATCTTTGTTTGAATTCAAGGCTCATTCTTACTGGAGTTAGCTGGGAGGCACAGAGGAATTCAGCTTTACGTGGAATCAGATGGAAGATGAATCTGCAAGATGAATGTGTTTGTATTGGTGAAAATGAGTATACCATATTCACTCTAACCTGTGTGCAATGTACTTCATAAGCTCTTCTGAGGACATGAGAGTTTCCTTCCATCTATTGTTGTCCTTTGGTTATGGCCATGTACCTTCCAACAATTAAACCATTAAGTCAAAATAAGGAGCAACTCAACAGTGAGGTCTGGAGAACACACGTGTCTAATTATCAGGAGAACCCAAGGGCAGTACAGGCCAATATATTACTCAAGACTATTGGCTACTACAGATATTACTAATAGGATGGTTGAAAACCTACTGATGGCTGAGAGTTCCTAGGGATAAGTTCATCCTTGGTGCTAGAAGGTAAAACTCCAATGATGACAATGGAGTTGTGCCTGAATTTGTCACCAGATCTGCTTTGGCTTAAGTCTGATTGCATAAGCTGATATCATTGGGCATGCACCACCTATATGACTGCACATGATCCCAAAGCCCCCAGCATACCCCACTTGCAGACCTCTGACTCAACAGCTACAGAACAAGATAGGAAGGCAGCTTTTCCGTCTTTGAATAGGACCAGGCAAAACCTAGGGCTAGAACATTTAGGCCCCTGGAATTGTTTATCTTCTCATTACTGAAAATAGGTTGACATGGGTACATTATTTTAAGCATGGCCCACGTTGGGTGTGATGTTTCAAGGGATTCTGGTTGGGTATCCATTTTGTTTGGTATTTGCGGACTACAAATGACAGTAATTTGGCCAGGCAGTATGCTTCAGTACCACAGGTTAGCTGGTATCTCCATATTCACTCCTTATCTCCTGCAAGCTCCTATGCAGTGCTCTCAAAAGTATGCATTTGTGAAATGATACCCAAGCCTTGGTGTCTCCAAACTTCCTGAAGACAGACATTAACAAGCCTTTGTTGGTTCATTGTGGCATCCAGCTCTCTGCTGATGCTCCGACTCCGATCTTAAAACTGTTTCTTCTTGTTCACAGCTCAGACACTTGATTACTCACTGGATCCAGTATGGCGATCATATAATTCTTCCCATTGTAAGATCCTGCCGCCTACCCAGCAGTGTACTGTGTTACAGTGAATTTGTGCAAACACTTCTCTCTGTCGCTCCTCGCTGGCTAGCTACAAAGGCAACCAGGGTGGGGCCCACTTTTCCTAAATGACTATGCAAGTTAGGGTGTCCATTCCCAGTGGATGCTAAATTGGTAAAGAGGCACTTAATACTCCTTTTAGCTGCTTACATGCCAATTGGAGCACTCCGTTATGGAAGTGGGTGCCCTCACTTAGGCCGCCAATTCTGAAAATTGGGCTTTCCATGGTGTGTATGTAAAAACGTGGCTAGGGAGGGAGCGTTATCATTCAGGATGTGCAAAGCTGGGGCCCATTCCTCTAGCCCCTACAAAAAAAAGCTTGTTAGTAAAACCTGACTTTGGGGCCAAATTTGACAGTAACAAGCATTACTCTTCACTATGGGCTAGATGGTAGTTTTAGCACAGAGCCCATATTTAGGGGGATCTGGAGGCTGCCAGCCCTGGCATTCTAGAGCTCTCCGGTTGTGCTCTCTTTTCAATGCATGAGTTTGCACTAGGAAGAGAGGGATGAATTGTGGCATGTAACTTCTGACCCAAGTGGAGGGCAATGTGTAACGGAGTCCCTCTCAGGTTAGCTCAGGAAGGACTCCCTCCCCCACTGGTCTGGTGTATATAACAGAAACCATTATTATTAAATTATTTCTATCGCTGAGACGTATACAGTGTCATTGTACGGTATCATGCATTAACTAAGGAAGTCTATGGGCCAGATCCTCAGCAGTTGGCATAGCGGCATTGAAGCCAGTCGAGTTATGCTGATCTAGGCTGATTTAAGCCAGGCGGCTGAGGAACTGACTATATGCACCTGGAACACAGGCTTAAGGAATCATAAAGTTAAACAATAACTTGTAAAAATTACAAAGGCCTTGTCCACATTAGAAAGTTATACTGCGTTAGCTATACCACTATATTTGAGGCGGTACAACTCCCCCTAGGGTAGACACAATTATATTGGTATAAATGTGCTTTATAAAAGGGAATAAGATGTACTGCTATAAGGGCCCTTCACACCAGTATACGTGTATGCTGTAATTATTTTTATTTAAAAAAAAAAAAAAGAAAAAGAAAATAGCCACCTCTCCTCCCAACATAGTGATACCAATACAAAAATCTGTGTGCAGACCAAGCCTGGGTCAGAGAGAAGCTTGTAAATTACTACCATAATCTTCAGATTAACCCACTGCTTTCCTAGGAGCCAACGAAACTATAGTGTCAGGGTAACCGAATGTGGAAGGCCATATCCCACTCTCCGGCTATATGTTAGCTACTCATGTTGAAGGGTAACAGATTGCTTCACTTCATCTTTTGGCTCACCAGTTATCGTATTAAAGTTGATAACAACTGTGGGACTGACAAAAAAAAAACAACAGCAACAACAAAGCAAGCTTCAGCACATATGCCGGCTCCAAGGTCATCACCAGCTGTATGTGAAGAATAGAGGCCTGCCACCAAAGGAAACCCTCTCCCTCCGCAAGATGTCACCTGAGACTCTGCGCTGAAGAGAAAAAAATCAATAGCAGCTGGCAGTGTTTAGTTCTTTGAGTTCAAGAACATCTGAAGACATTCATGACTGAATATCAGTCAATTATGTAAAAGCATCAAGCTGCTTCGTAGGATCTGCAGGAGCTAAAAATACACCCGCATATTGTCTGCAGATCCAAGAGACTGTAACCATTGAAACATTAGCCCCCAAGGAAAACACAGGAAACTCAGAGCATTACAGTAACGAAGCTGTAGCACCGCAGAATCCCGGGGTAACATAGGCCAAGTTATTTCTCTAACTGCCGAAAGTAATTAAGACATTGATGGAAAAAATCTATAACAATCTAAGAGAGTGTGAGACAGTCCAGATAAAACCTTTGCAAACAGGCAGCTCTGGGGTCCAGTTCATTAACAGATTAGGGCTTCTCTATAAGTAGAAACAACAAGGAGTCCTTGTGGCACTTTAGAGACTAACAAATTTATTAGGACTTCTCGTTGTTTTTGCTGATACAGACCAACACGGCTATCACTCTGAAACCTGTCTATAAGTAGAGTTATTCTGGATAAGAACGTCTGCACATGGAGTTTATTCTAGAATAAGAGTGCTTTATTCTGTATTATTTTAACCCACTGGATTACGCTATAGTTCAGAATAAGGCACTGTTATTCTAGAATAAGAGTATCCACACATGGAGTCTATCAGAGTAGTTAATTCTCTTTATATTCACACACTACCTTATTCCAGATTAGCTTTCATATGAAGACAAGCCCTCAGACTCATCTCTGAGGACCTCAATTAAAATTCAGCATTACTATAAGAGAAAATATATGTGGTGGCTCACCCTATTTGTCATTGGTGCACATTAAAAAAAAGCAGAGATTCTACCATGACTGGCCGTTTCTGCTGAGGAGAGACCCCAGAAAGGAAGAGGTCACAACTGGGAGAGGTGGACTGGTAGAGATCAAGTGATGTTTTCAGAGAACCTATCCACAGCATACTTGGCTCGAGTGGTGCAATTAGTTCCTCCCCTTTTAAGAATATGATGAATTTTTAAAAAGGAAAGAAAAATCCAAGTAGGATACAAAGAGTCTGGTCAACAGGGCTAAATGGGGGATAGATTATCCAAAAACATGAGCATAAGGGGAAGTCACTGTGAATTGACACTACAGCAACTCAACCTTGGCCCACCATTTGCTGCACTTCACTGAGTGTTCTGTAACCCCAGCCAAGCCCTACCCTGGGGTCTTGTGGGATCAGGGATTGGTAGTCTCTCTTCCTCTCTCTGCATCACAGGATCCTCTATACCCCCAGGGATGGAGAGCACAGAAACACAGGCCTACAGCTCATTGCCATTTCTGAGCTAAGTGCTGAGCAGAAATCTGAATAAAATGCATCAAAAGGTGGTGTCAAGAAATGGAAGCATTGCCAAAGACTCATCTACCAACCTCCTCGGCCACTTTTGTGGGGGGAAAGAGGTTAGAGAAATGACAAACTGCAGTCAGCTTTGCACAATACAGAATGTGAGCACAAGTCCAACTTCACCAATACGAGTAATAACCGAATCCAAGACATCTCTGCAAAGAGCCATGTAGGACAGGGGACATTGGCTCAGGTGGGAACATGCTGCTGCTGAATAATCAACTTAATCTCAACAGAAAAATTAGAGAAGCAAGTCATTAATAGTAGTGCAACAAAAAAGAACATAAACCTGTCAGAGGAAGCACTGAAAGGGAAGTCTGCTCCAATGCTACTAACTTTCTCCACATTTCAGCAGGAACTAGATGAACCACAAACATGTGATGCTCTGGACTGAACCATTCTATTGATTAACAGGGTTTAAATAATTCTGAGCACCCATTTACCCATTGAGTAATTTTCCTTGGAAGGTACCACGAAAAAATCATTGCCCTAACAATTGTTACAAAAAACCTATGCCTAATCCCAAAGATCTTAGCCAAGTATGAAAAATGAATAGTTTTGATTAAATTACATATTTTGCTGTACTGTGGCCAACTATTTTCTATAGTGTAGATAGATTTTAAAAATCAATGTCCCTTTATAACGTAACTTCAAAATGGATCTTGGTGTGAAATGTTGCGGAAGTCCCAAACCAGTTATCTTCATTCCTCTGAAAAATCATCTTTTCCAAGGCTGAGTGAGGATGGAGTTTAAAAACACCACAGATATAGAATCATGTGTATCTCCACTAGTGGCTGAAACTTTGTATCAATATGTAATTCCCCTTTAGAATGATATAATCACATAGCGCATTTTGCATGTGCAGTAGGTTAATAAGCAAAATGCTGTAAGTTCAGTATTATACACACATCGCACATAGAACAGTTCTTTAAAAAAACACTAGTATGTACATTTTGTGCAGGTCAGAGAAAAATGATGCAAAATTTACAAAACATGACTAAACACCGTGACGACTGCCATTAAGCAGGGCAATTTACTGTGCTTTTGTCCTGAAGGGAAGTACATTAGAAACATGTAATAAACCCCAGACTGCAGGATTTACCACTTAACTGCTCAACTGAACTCCTTTTTCCTTTCAGTCAGTGATTCAATAGCATTAGCATTGCGGCCAAAAAGGAATTTGTTTGCTAGATTACATGGGCCAGATCCAGCTCTGGTTGCTTTGTGCTGCTCCAGTGGTGCACAGGAGCTGTAATGCCAGATTAACTAGGGAGTGGAGGAGATTCCTCCTCCAAGGGAGAATCTCCAGGTGCAAAAGAGCTAATAGATGCAAGAGATGCAATGACCGTAGCTCAGATGCAGCCCAAGGCTCAGGGCTTATGTTAGGTCCTGCATAGCCCCCATGAAGTCAGTGAGACTCGTAGTGGTGCCACAGTGCAGAATTTGGCCCTAATTCTCTCTAAGTGGGGGAAACAGAGAAACTGTGAATCAAATTTGAAAGCCTTTTGCAGCCGAGTATTTTTGTGCTTCACTATGGTCAGTAGGAATGGAGAGACGCCAGCTGAAGGGCTTCAGTTAGAGACTTGGCAATAGGTGTTATTTGAAATTATTTAGGGATCTGGCACCTATCTTCATCCGGTAAGACCAATATAATCATTGTATGGCTCTGTGCACTAGGGTCACGGCTCCTAATACTCGGCAGCAGCTAGCACTGGATCTATCAATAATCAAGAAACAAAATGAGCCTTCTTCCCCTATCTACTGCCTGCACTGGGTTTAACCCACTTTGGAGGCAGGAAAAAGAGGACTATTAAAACTGAAAGTGTCACTACGCTCTGAAGCGCGACTACTTAAAAATCACCTCCCCTTAGTCAGCACATCTGCCCTTTGTGGCTATGCAGATACAGGCGTGAACTCTCATACTTTTCACTTCTGTTAGCCCTCCAGGGCCAACACCTCTAAAAGAGCAACTGGGATTCTATTCCTTCTTGTGCATCGACATCACTGCTTGAGGTGGGTTCGCACAAGGGAAGTGATAGCACCATGGGGCCTGCAGATCCCTCCTCGTGATGTCAGAGAAGGAAAGAATTCACCTTGACTTTCAGATCCCTGGAATATTTTACAGGACGCTTGAAAAAGCACTTTTTACTTGGAGCCAATTTGACACAGTCATTGAAAGATAATAAACACGAACCCCCACTATGCACAGAACCACTCTTCCGAGCGAACCTCACGTTCAGAAAAAACTAAGAAGAGTGAACAATGATCTAGAAGAATCGTGGTTTAGGCACAAAGGCAGATGTGCAGCTTGCTTTGGTCTCTCTCTCTTTTGTTGCTGTTTTGTTTTCACAACAATAGAAGCCATGAGCTAAGAACACAGGGAAGCATCTAAACATGCATTATATAACTACTATGTTAAATTGACACCCATCACCTCATACAAACATCTGGGGATATAGGTTGCACAAGAAAGGAAACATGCTTACTTCAAATACTAGTAAATAAGATCATCGCTAATACAAGACAGTAATGGCAATCTCTAGGCACTTAACAGTTTACAGAGAAATCTTTAGTGCTTTCCCATGCTACCTGAAAATATATTAATCAGTCTTAAGTGGTATCAAATGTTTATCTTTAGGATTTAGAAACACTGTAGTAAAAGGAAGAGCGAGTGGCATGCAGTGCTAGACTAATGACGTCATCTGTGTATCAAGAACATTTGCATACATCAATAACAGGAATGGAGGTGGGAGAAAGACATGACACCAAAAGAAAATAGCATCAAAAGCAATTTAGATCAACGAGGCATTGACGGCAAGAGGGTAAAAGTATCTTTGTGTTTTTCATAACCACTTCCCTTCTGGTTATCATTTGGGTGAGAAAATGTATGAAACCCCCCAAAGGCAACAGGTAAATTTGCTCACCGGGCCCCAGCACCTACATTCACTGAGTGCGCTGAGTTTTAAAAATTCAGTTAAAATAGACCCAGCTGGTTCATAATGTTTGCTATGGGATGGCTGCTTTCAGCGGGGTGATTATGGGAGGGTCCAGTGGGCAGTCCCAGGAGCTCAGGGACCATTAGGATTCCAGTAAGGTATGCCACCTGCAGACCTGCTGCCCTTTTGTTTCTTTCATTTCTTGCCAGTGGTTTTGCTCTTCTTCTCCACTACTGTTCTGACCCATAGAAATCCAGCCAATCATCTCCTTGCGCTTCATGCTGCGCCGGTTGTATATGGAGATCATCAGCGTGACGTCAGAAAGCTGGAACAAGGCAACTTGGAAGACGAACGTCTCCTTGTAGATGGGGTTTGGTTGGCCTCGACGGATGGATGTCTTGCAACGAGACATCTCCTGGCCCATGGAGTTGAGGAGGCAGAGTTTTCCGTAGGTGTCTGGGACAAAAGAGAGAAGAGAAACAGTTTAGTTTTTTGCTACTAGCGAAGGAATATCAAGGGGCCAAATGAAGCAAATGGGAGCTTTGTCTGAGTAAGCACTGAGTAAAAGCTGAAGGTCAGATCACCCCTTTCCATCATAAAACCCATGGGAGGGGCATAAGAAGGGAGGAAAACTCTGAGGATTTCCTCATCATTAAGTCTTGGTGGGCAGGCAGGGTTTGCCCGTTGGCCTCATGTAATAAACTGCAAGTCTGGCCCCTAAACCCTACAGGTCCCACTGGGAGGCCATGACCATCTCCATGGAATCTTCGCTCCAGCTGAGGTCCCAGCACCCCTTCCTCCATTTCCTGGCAGCATGGCTCCTTTGGAATTGCTCCACCAGGGCCTCCCCTGGCTACACTTGCCTCTCATGACTCCCCATTAAAAGAAGGCAACTACTACCTACTATCCTGGACAGGTCATGACCCCATAGACAGCCCTTCATAGGTTCCTGAAAGGGGGAGGCAGGTTCCATGGAGGCTGCTGACCACTCTCCTCTTTCTTATGGGAGAGGAGACATCTGCATGCAGTGGCATGATCTGGCCTTAAGTAAGGACTTCAGGATTTGTCCCAAGCTTGCAATAAAATCCTCTTTTTGCTTTTCATCCTGAGTGCAGCAGAATCAAGGTCAATTTCATTCACCGTTCAAATTCTTTAATGTACAGACATCTGTATTAACTACAGTACTGCGATGTAGGGGGCTGGACTTTACTTCTTGAGGTCCCTTCCAGTCTACGTTTCCATGATTCTATAATACCACCCCTAACATCATGTGCTTTCTACAGTCAAAACCCCCAATCTCATCATCCCACAAATCCTGCTCAGTGCAAATTTACAGCCTATTCCTGTTTGCGGGTCACTCTGCCAGGTCACCCCAGCTCTAACCTTTTTAAACATCAAAGACCAAGGTCTTGCAATTTAATATCACCTCAGAGTGCACTGAAGATAGGAAATAAATTACAACCCACTGTCTCCTTCCTACAGCATGTCTATCCTTTTCTATTCCTGTTTGATGTGCTATGTTACGCACTTATCTGCTGAGAAACACAAGGTGTGAAATTACACTTCAGGTGTGAAAACACTTCTGTAGCTCAAAAGCAGGGCTCTCCATTCCTCAAACTGTTCCACTGAAAAAAGCTGTCAGGAAACTGACAATTGAGGAGTAAATTGTGAGTCTGCACAGCTGTACAGCTATCAGGTTATTGCAGGAAAAGTTCAGCCCTATCACCAGCCAGCTATGGCAATTTGGCTGCCAGCATCTAGAGACAAAGTAAAGCTTGCCAACAAAGATCTTCTCCGTAGAAAGAAAAGGAGAGCAATTTATTCTGTCATGAAATAGTCTGCTGATTGTGGCTGGGAAGGAAAAAAACCCACTTAATACAAGAAACATGAATAATCCATGTGGCACAAAGCAGACTACAGGTCCCATGTACTTTACTGAAAGCTGAACTCTACTTTCTGCGGGATGGCTTGTGATTTTGGTGGCACACAAACTGAATCTTGCAGAAGCTTCAGAAACATTAAAAACAAAACAGAGTTTTTGTTGTTGTTTTTTTGTTTTTAGCTGGACAGCATATGAAACCAAACAAAACAATCGGCACAGGGTTCCTGGTGTTATGGATGGGGATTTTTAGTTTATTTTACCTTGCGGGTGTCTGTACTGACAAAGCATAGCTGCACTGTAGAAATGTGTCATGATGAAACCAGCGGCTCTGGCCACTGCTCAGGGTACTATGGGGGCTTTTTGATATTAGAACTGGTTGGGGGGGAAGGTTTCAGGAAATTCTGGGGAGAAGTTCTGCCCTTACACGAACATGCCCTTGCTGCAGAAAGTTTGGTTTTAGGGCAGGGGCAGCTTCCCTGGTTGAAATGCCAGATGGAAATTTTAAAATGGGTTCCAGTTAGGAACTAGGTACAATGGCTCTATTCTTGGTCTACTAGTTCCTGGGAGTACATTCAACTGAACCCAACAGAGGCCAAAAGGAAATGACTGAAATCTTCACTGGGATACTTAAGGTAGGTTCTGGACAATTTCAGACTCTAGACCTTTGGAGGCTCCCCCACAACTAAGGTGCACCAATGACCAGTGGGTTCTAGCATGAGAACACCCATATAATTTCACCCTGTGAAGTCAGAGAGGACTTGAAGCCAGCTGTCTGCAGTATGCTTCGCTCGCTGAACCACCCAGTACCTAGGAGAAGCAGCACTAACATTCGCTCTGGGAAAGAGCTCATGTAACTAAAGCATAATATAGATACCTCTCTGGATGTGCTAAGTGTCCGGCCTTTCAAGAGACGGGAAACTTCACTATCAATGCTTCAGGCAACGGGAAGCAGGTTTTTTTGCTCACCTGTCAACCCCAGAGAGCGGGAGGGGAGGGACTTTAACTGTGAGTGAAGTGTCAGAGGAAATCCCTAATGTCTCCGCTCCTAGATCTAGAGTTTAGCATGCCCATTGTGTTACATTAACAGATGGCAATGAGTGTATCAAATCAACATTACTATACAGCTTGTGGGGGGCATTATTCTCAGCAACACAGACAGTAACTCAGCTGTGGCCCAATGAAAACAGCACTTAAAGCTTTCGTTTCTTTGCTTATTGGGTTAGCACCCATTAGTGCTGCTTTATTTTATGACCTATCAGCACATCCCTTGTAAATCCTGTTCTTCGGGTTTGTTGCAGATTTGCTGCAAACATTCACCTCCACCTGAAACTTGGGCTTAATAAGATTTTACCCTGGGAACCAGTTTATATTCTTGTACACATGTTTGGAAAAAATCTTTCGGCTTGTTTTAAAGACATCGGAATGAAGCTGGTGCTGGAATCAATATATATCCAGCTGCAAATGCATTCCCTTAACTCAAAAATAGCTTTGCTTTTTATTTTCCAAGATGTGAGTCTGTAGTACGGATTCTGCTTTTTTATACTTCTTACACATTTAAAATAATTAAGTTAAGCGAAGTTACTGGGCACCATTGACTGCTGGGCATATAATAATCATTTGAACTTCCACTGCACTTCCCACGCAAAATCTCTATGCACTTGCCAAAAGTTAATGAATTTACCGCTTGATTTTCAGCTATGCTGATCACTCATCGTCAGATTCTAAGGGTTATTTGGAGGCAAATTCAGGGGTGGAGAATAAAGGGATGCTGAAGGATTAATTAAAGCATTCTCTCTTTTTTATTTCCTGGCAAAGCAACTAGTTGTAACTACAGTATGTTTGTAATGCACTGGTGAGTGCATGTTGCCTGATCTGCAGATGATATGAGTCTGGATAGCACCCGACCTACACAGCTTGGCTGAACCTGTAGCAGTTCTAGCTTTTCGCTCTGGAGATTCCCAGTTCAGTGACCGGTATGTTGGTGTACATCCATAGATGATCATCTTTGGAGCGGTGTGGACTTTTACTGCCTACCATCTTATAGTCTACTTACGTTCTACAAATTATCCCAGGCACTACAGAACGTTGTTGTTTTTTTAAAAGACAGAAGGCAAGGCAAGAACCCTACTTTACTTCTCACCTGAAACTGGTGTTATTTCTTGAAGGATTCCATAAAAACCCTGACACCAAAAAGTAATATGAATTATAGTCAGCTGCCATTTTAGCTCATTTACTGGACCATATGATTCTCCTGAGGGATCATGGCATGACTAGCCATCCAGAGAGGGCTACAAAATCTGCTAGGTAACCCCTAAAAGGGGCTGGAGAAGTTTTGATTGGTTTCAAATGATTATGTGGTGGTGCCCAAATCCTAATTGACGGTGGTGAGCATGGGGAGCTGTGTCACTTGTCTGAGTGGTAAAATATGCCCAGGGGAAGGTTTTGTGCTAATGAATTATCATAATTTAACCCAAATTTGGTCCCAGGCTTTTCTAGCTTCACACCTCTCCCTGTTCAAATTCCTATTAAAGAGAGCTCTTAATTCACACGGGAAATAATTAATGAAGGCGTAAATACAACAGGCATCAGATAAAATTTAAGACCGGTCAAGGTTTCAAGTTCCAAGGTCACATTTGGAGCTATCTCCTAGTCCTCCTTGTCTTGGTCACCTCACCCCACTCAAATACTGTACAATATAGGAAGGATCTTTTAGTGGTGGGGCACTCAACCGGGACTCTCGAAACCTAGGTTCAGTTCTTGGCTCAGCCATGGACTTTCTGTGTGACCTCAGGTGAGTCAATTAATCTACCCTGTAGCTCAGTTCCCGAGGTGGGAATAACAGGACTTCCTTGCCTCACCAGGGTGTCGAAAAGATAAAATCTGTTAATGATCATGAGGCACTTTGATACCATGGTGACGAGGATCATAGAAGTTCTTAGCTAGATAATCTGCAGTATCCTCTGCATTTCTTGCCCCCACTACTCATAACACAGATTGGTTTTTGTTCATCAGCCGTTAAATCTCGATTTGAAGAGCTTTTCCCTTTCCGATTTTGATTTGTTCATTCTCTTTCTCTCCCCCGCCCTCTCTTTTCTAACATTAATGCTATTGTGTTTGTTTAATGGGGTTAATATGCTGCTGGTATGATAATGATCATGTACGGTTGTAATTATCATGTGTGATTAATTCTGCACTTGCTGAAAGGCTGTGAGGGTTATTCTTACCAGAGGGGAAGTGGGAACAATAGTGTTTGACAAGGGGCATTATACATTAACATGAACCCCACAAGAAATGCACAGAGGGAAAGAATTAAGATTGTGCTTGGAAGGAGAGAAGTCAAACAGAACAGCAGGAAATGTCTGGCAGAGGGTTACAAGCTCTTTGGGGCAGGAGCTGTCCTTTTGTTCTGTTTGTACAGTACCTGGCACAATGGGGTGCTGGTTCATGACTGGGGGTCCTAGACACTACCCCAGTATAAATAATAACAATTAATAATAAATAAGACAAGGGCATTTATCAAGGCTGCAGGTCCCAGCTGTCACTCATTGTAAAATTATTCTCACTTAAGTGAGAATACCGGGTTTTTGAGGAAAACACCCAGGAGACTAAAATATAACCCCCCAGAACCATTCTAGGGGCCCAATAAAATAGTGTGAATAGAACATGGAAGGAGAGGAGGATAAGGGCATGTCTACACTACCCACCGGATCGGCAGGTAGCGATCGATCTACCGGGGATCAATTTATTGCGTCTAGTGTAGACGCGATAAAATCGATCCCCGATTGCTCTGCCGTCGACTCCGGAACTCCACCGCAGCGAGAGGCAGAGGCGGAGTCGAGGGGGGAGTGGCAGCGGTCGACTCACCACCGTCCTCACGGCCAGGTAAATCGACCTAAGATATGCCAACTTCAGCTACGCTATTCGCGTAGCTGAAGTTGGCATATTTTAGGTCGACACCTCCCCCCCCCATAGTGTAGACCTAGCCTAAGTTCTTCTCTTCTGTAATGGATGGAAACATGAGCACAAGCTGATGAGTTTAAGGAGGACTAAATAAAACAAGATACATATTATACATACATGGCTAGCGTTAAAATACGGAGGGGCCGTCATGGAAAAAGGCACATACTACAGAAAAAACACTCGTGTGACACTTTCTCAGGGTGCCCGGGACTGAGCGTCACCTTGTTAAACCCCTGCTTCAGCGAGAGAGAGACGTGCTCAGTGAGACCTCAGCTCCCTGACACCACCAGCCTGTTAGCCAGCCAAACAAACTCCTCAGGGCTCTGCCAGCCCTTTCTTTGCTTTGCCGGTAACAATAGGTAAATATACAGGGATCACTTAGGGCCTGATGCTGCAGCCCTTACTTTTGTTTGTATTCCCAGGGTGCCCAGTGAAGTTAATAGAACTACTAACATGAGTAACAACTGCAGACTCAGGCCTACAGCCCGGCAGGTCCAGGTGAACAATTCCTGAAATCCTGGACCAAACTACCTTCAAATGCCACTTCTGAGTCCTTCTCAGGAGACGCTGTGTCAGAAATTCAAGCAGCAAAAAAACTGCTCACGTGCATCATAATCTTGAGATTTTTTAAAAATTAACATCGATGGATCACTGTCATTTTTACAGGAGAAATAAGGGAGGCTGCAATATTTAACTCACTCAGTTCAACCCTCAACAACAGTTTGTTTTGAAGGTTTTGTGATGCACAAGATAAATCCGGGGGGAAAAACACTCTTTCCTTGCCCAAAAAATTCTTTCTTACAGCTTTTGCAGACTCCAAGATGCTGCCCTCTAAATCACTGAGGTCCAAAAGTAGCGCCTGCCTCTGCAGGTGTGGGGGCCTCCCCAGGCACCAGAACCACTGTGGATTTGGGGAGCCGTGTAGGGGGCATGCATGCCACATGAGGCATGGAGCTCAGTTATAGAGGGCCCTCAGAGGGGCAGAGAGCCAGGTTGGAGTGAGGACAGAGCATGGTAGAGTTGAACTGGACGATTTACTGCTGTGTAGCTCCTCCTGCTGTTTCCCCTACACTTTGGTGAGGGCGGTGGGTGGGTGTGGATCGACCAATAGGCATCAGAGGATACTAAAGCCATTGGACTACAGCAGTGCTTAATTTGTGCCAGTGCTGAGTGCTGGCACCTCTGGGCTTGGCAGTTCGTAGCTCCGGCACCTCTGGACTCGCCGCGTCAGTTATGAAAGTAAAAAAATTGCTTGAGCCCCGGCACTTCTTTCATTACACATGAAGCACTGAACTGCAGTAGTATCTATGGAATGGCTCTGCAGCTACTCTGCAGACTGTGTGCACGTAGGGGGGTGGGAAAGATTCTTTCCCTCATGCTGCCTCCCCTGAGCATCTGCCCAACGCCATCTGGAGAGTAAACATTACACTTATTTCAACAGCTACTAAGCTGGCGGGGGCTATGACATGGGAGGTTACGTGCAGCAAGTACCTCACTCCTGTACTCCATGCTCTCTCTCTCAATGTCTTCTCGCCTGTACAGTGCGCATTGCATAGTGGTTTGGTTTTCCACTGCCTTTTACATTAGCTGTCCCAAAGCCCTTCACAAAGCCCCATTATGCTTGAAGTTCCTGTTATGTCTTTCAAAAATAGCTCTCTCAGCATTGGACCCCAGAACACGTTTAACTGAGAGAAGAAATATTGGCCAGGACTCTACGGCTATCTCCCTGCTCCTCAAAAACAAGATGGGATTCTTAGTTTCTACTTGGAAAAGAGGCTTGGTTTAATATCTCATCCAAAGAACAGCACCCTAATCAGAGCAGCAACTTGCATCTCATACTACTTCACTGGAGTGCCAACAGTGGTGACGACTGCAGTTTCTAGCCTGGGGTTTGGAGCTCTCTTTTTGATAGGTTTTTCCCTGACATCACATTACCAGTCATTTTCCAGGCATGCAAGTACAGTATAGAACAGAAAATAATGATGTGACTTTGGATGGGGAAGCATATTGTGACAAATATGGAACTTCCCTGCAGCAAATTATGAATATTGTATTGGTTACGGGGATGGTGTTTATTGTATGAATATATTGATTTAATTTAATAGTGAGCTGTCTGGATACAGGCAGGAAGTGGGAGAAGAACTCAAGATAGCCACTCATTAGCAAATACTTAAGTGCTAAGGGACACTGCCAGACTTATTTGCTTTGCTGACACTGTCAGAGTCTCCAATCAGCCTACAAAACTGGTTTAATCAGCAATAACCAGAGCCCTGCAAACATGAAAACAAAGAACTTGGGCAGGCATCAAAACAACATCTTGTCAGGTATGTCTTCATTGCACAGTTAACCTAGACTCTCACCCAAGTTTTAGGCCAATCCCACTACCATCCACACAGAAAAACCTCTGATTCCAGGTTTGGAGATGTTGTAAGCTTTGGATACCTGGCCTGGCTGGGAGTGGGGTTAGAACCTGGGCTGGAAGCTGTCCAGTTTGCAGTGAAGATGCAGGCTAAACCATGTGAATGATGACAGTCCTCCAGTGCCTTCCCACAATTCCCCCCATGCATCCAGAAGGACAGACACGTTCTGCCACAATGCACTGGGAACGAACCACAAAATGGCTCAGTTTATTGCAGCACAAAGAACCATGGGATATGGCCCTGTAAGTGCTAGTCTCACACACACACACACACACACACAATGAGTGCCGCACCAGTGAGGACGCAGTAACTTGGGGGTGGCCTTGCAGTGCGGCAACTCGCACCCGGATGAGGCTAATCTGGGTGCCAGTCAACCAAGTAAACTCTGCAATACCTTCAGCGGGATAGAGGGCGACAGGGAAACCAGACAGACACAGGGCCCGCTGGGTGTGTGTAGGGGGAAGCTAGGCTTGCTGAGGTCACCTTTGTGGGAGGACAGGACTCAAGGCAAGATAGACATGTGTGCAGTCTCTGTTGTTTTAAAATCCTTTTTCTCTTACACTTTGTTCCCGCTACCAAATAAATAATGGTTTTAAGAAGGCTGTTTGGTTCCTATATACCACTGGTCATTGGCTCTTTGAAGGGAAGAACCACAGGTGCCTGAAGCCAGCTGGACCTGCAGGACAAGACTGTTTCATACACAGGGTAGTATAGCCCAGGTCCTGGTCTAAGAGTTGAAGAACTGCATGATTCTAGCCTGAGGCCCAAGACCTGAGTTGGGGGCACTCTGAGAGACCAGAAAGGGGCAGCTAGACCTGTGACCACAACACATTTGAAGATTTTCATTAAAATTCGAAGAAAATCTTATTTCTTCAGGGTCTCTGCTAGCTGTGGGTCTTAGGTAATGGGATATAGGGCTTCATCCTGCAAGGTTCTGAGCACTCTGGCCACAATCTAGCAAAGCAATTAAGTACTTCAATGGAACTACCCACATGCTTAGATTTAAGTGTGTGCTAAAATGCTTTGGTGGATCAGAGACAAAGGTGCACAGCCTTCTGCAGGTTCAAGCCCAAAGAGTCTTCATTTATAGATCCCCAGTTCAAATCGAGCCCAGGTTCATAGTGACCAAATGTTGTTGCCATCAGGTAGATGTCTGGAGGCTTATGTGAAATGGTCCACATCCAGTTCTCAATGGGCAAGTAACCACATCACCAAAAAATACCTCCTCAATTCACGCTAGTTCTCGGGTGACAGGCCAAAGACAGAAGGGCCATGAAGTTTGAACTCGCCCCTAGAGGAGGTACCTTCTAGCTTTGAATGAGGCACATTGGCAGCAAAGCGCAGACTTTGGTCAGCATCGCTGTCAATCTGTCATGCTTCACGAGCACTAGACACAATTAAAGCATTAAATATGTTCTCTTGGCTCCGATTTTTATTTTTTATATTAGAGAGGATGGCTGGTCCAAAGACCTGGGTTCAAGGCCCTGCTTTCCCGCAGGCTTCCTGTGGGCAGATCACTTAGTGTTTCCGTGCCTCAGTTCCCCTCTGTAAAATGGGGCTAATACTACTTCTTTGCCTCGCTGGGATAAATACGTTAAATATTGTGAGGCGCTCTGATACTATGGTATTGGCAGCCACATCAGTACCACAGATAGATACTTTATTCGAAATGCACAGGCCAATTTACCAGCACATGCATTTGGAATAATATTTTTTATTTCACTATTAAGTGTAAAATTCAAATGTGCAGAGACTCAATTGGGAAATGCTTTAATTGGATAGCTTGATGTGGCAAAAACTGTATCAAGAAAATAAAACCAGGTTGTGGCTCTAACGAATAGGTGTGCCATTATGAGAGACTTCACTTACCGGGCGGCCTGTTAATAGCAAGGTTGCGGAAATGGCTGCCTTTGATCATCTCTACTGACAACCGTCCGGTAGTAGCATTGTACGACAGTCCCACCAGCAGCTCCGGTACGCCTCCGTGCGACAGGGACTGTGTTGAAGAAGCGCTATCGCTGTGCGAGATTGCCGACAGACTGATCTGAGAGTCTCCGCTCTGCAGGGAAAGAGCAAAGAGAGTCCCTCTGGAATGCTCAACACCGCTCCCCCTTTAATGTATGCCTTGTGGTTTAATTGGGTAGGGTTGTGATGTTCTTCTAGAAGTTGCCAATGACTAAGACTCATCTGCATGAATAACAATGGGGCAGAAGATAGAACTGCAGGAACAAGTCTCCAGCATCACTTTGCAGAAACACATCTTTCAATATTCTCTCGAGAGAGGCCAGAAGCCCTGTCTAATGTGTTATTACCTGTGTAAATCAAAGTCTTTGAGATAAACATATGCTCCAGTACATCAAAAGGAGAGTAAATTTCCCTGAAAATGACTTTCTGATGGAATGTGTCTAGCACAATCTTCCATCTTTTATGTCACTTGCTGTATATTTTCTTGCTTTCTTCCTAGTTACCATTATGTTCAATTCTGTCCTCCCCTCCCCCTGCAATTGCATGGTTTATTATTCATTTTGTGTGCACAATCTTATATGGAGTTTCTTTTATATGGTGAAAAGTCTTAGGCCTTGTGTACACAGGAAAATTGTCCGGCATAGCTATTGCAAAATAAGCTTTTTTGCAACAGCTATTCTGGAATAGCTCCCTATATGGACACTATTCTGGAATACGAGTGACTTTTTTCTGGAATAATTATTCTGCTCAATTCCCTCCTTTTCCCTGTCTCCTTGTAGACAAGGCCTTAGAGGAAAGAGTGGCCTGTTTTAATACCTGTTAGTATTTTGCTTTTTGCCAAAGGATTGAATATTAGTACAAGACATGCCTGCTTTATAAAGAAAAAACAAAACAAAACAGTGTGTCTGAAAATGTAATTTTTCCCAACAACAAAAATGAGGAAGAAGTTTAATGGCTATGGTTTCAAAATCAACCTGATGGCACAGCAATTATCCTGCTACTCTGATATCATAGATGATCTAATCTGGGATTGGAAATTGGGATTTTCCAAGGAGACTAAAGGAGCAAAGTGACCAAATCCTACAGAAGCAAGGCACCAAACTTCCTCAGACTCCTTGGAAAACCCCAGCTACAATGCTTTTGTGGTGATATTCACTGTCTATACATAGGACTCTGAAAACTGGGCAGTTCTCTGGAATGTACAAGAGGCTGCTTAAAATGTTCAGGCCAAAGAAAGTGTCCAACTGGTAGAAAACATGCATGTGTGGATGCAAATGGGTAATGATGGATGCAAAATGGAAGGTTGGTTGTTGGGCAATGGACCTTTTTGTGGGTTCTACTGCATATTTAATGGACAGTTACTAGTCTGAGACCATGAACTCCTCTATTGTGGATGGAACTTGTGTGCCTAATTTTGAAAACTTGGCCCTCTAACCTCAGAACACGATAGATTACATAGAAAGATCTGGTCCCTAAATGCATACAAGGTGGAAATTCTGTCTTATGAAAGAACATAAGAATATAAGAATGGCCATACTGGGTCAGACCAAAGGTCCATCTAGCCCAGTATCCCGTCTTCCGACAGTGGCCAATACCAGGTGTCCCAGAGGGAATGAACAGAAAATCATCAAGTGATCTATCTCCTGTCGCCCATTCCCAGGTTCTGGCAAACAACCACTTTAAAAACCATGCACCCCTGCTCCCTTTCAATCCTACTGAAACGTCTAAAAGGGAGCATTAGTGAATACGTCGGGTACCATGGATGCTGAGCACTGAGCTTTCTCTAACTAGTGCTGACATTCATCACTTGAGACCAGGATGAAAATTGAGATCTGAACAGTGGGGCTAGGAAATGGGCCAGCAGCATGTTTAAGAATCCTTAATGAAGAAGTGGGTGCATTAGCAAAGTAAGCTGTATCCCTCCACCTCCGCCAACGATGCAATGAATTGTTTAATAGACTTACGCTCATATCGCTCCTGGGCTCCAAAACCAGTGTCACCTTCACTTCCCCCTCCTGGTTTAGGCTCCTCAGATAAAACAGTTGCTCGCCCATCATCTGTTCCCGGATCATTTTGCGCACTGCATAGAGACGGAACCTGAGTGCGTAGCTACTCAGCTTCTCTGGCTCCAGCTTATTAAAGGTCATTCTGTCTTTGAACACCGGGATGGGTCCTTTCTGAATGCTCGACTTTCCCCTCTGTTTCTTGCTGGGCATCAGGACTGTGTGAACTTGCCAGGTGTTCACACCACTGCGGTCTTTGTCTGGGATATCCTTAGCTTCCAGGATAGTTACCAGCAGCTTTTGGCTCGAGGCCTTATAATCGAGGATGACGTCTAGGTCACCGCATTTAGAAATGGGTTCATGGGCACTGTGATGAGCTGGAAGACTATTCCCTCCATCATGTTCCTGCCACGGAGAGAATAAATAAAGGTGTATATATAAAAAAACATTTTCTTATACAGGCCCTATTAAATCAAACATCTCAAAGATCATTTGAGATAGGATAACCGGCAAACATGACAGAGATCAAATATAAGGCACGCTGGCATCTACCGATGAAAAGTGCTATATAAGAAGTAGGTATTACTATTATTATTACTATAGCCTCATCAACTCAATCCCTAGATGGACTGTGGGTCTCTCTAATAGTGAAGAAATATCCTGAGCAAAGCACCATTTGCAATAAGAACACAGACATCACCTCATCCTCATGCATCTTCCAAATCAGAGAGGTTATTTTACCTCTGTATTTGGCACTGATGCAACTGCTGTTGGAATACTGTGTCCAGTTCTGGTGCTCACAATTCGAGAAGGATGTTGACAAATTAGAAAGGGTTCAGAAAAGAGTGACGAGAATGATTACAGGATTAGAAAACAGGCCTTATGGTGACAGACTCAAAGTGCTCACTCTATTTAGCTTAACAAAGAGAAGATTACGGGGCGACGTGGTTACAGTCTGTAAGTATCGACATGAGGAACTTCCATCGAGCAGAGGAAGGTATAACATGAGCCAACGGCTGAAAGTTGAAGCTAGACAAATTCAGACTGGAAATAAGGCATAAGGGTAATTAACCATTGGAACAATTTACCAAGGGTCATGATGGATTCTCCATCACTGGCCAATTTTAAATCAAGATTGGATGTTTTTCTAAAAGATCTGCTCTAGGAATTATTTGGGGGAAGGTTTTTTTGGCCTGAGTTGTACGAGAGATCAGATTAGATGATCACAATGGTCCCTTCTTGCCTTGCAATCTTTGAATCACACTCCTTGGCTCATCTTCCACTGTGTGCGTCTCCCTCCAAAGTGCCTCAATCTTCTCTTCACTCATTTGAACCCTCATATTTTCATGATGAGAACTCAAAACATATAAGCAACACGTGTGTAAAACAATTATCAAATTACCCTTTCTTTCAGCTTCTTTAAAACATTTATTTGATTAAACAAGATGAAAAACCCCACCGTTGCTCACTTCACCTGTTGATGGGGGTGCGCGAGTTTCTGTTTAAAGGTGCTTTTTATCTCAGCGATAGAATGTGTTTCATGTGATAAAGGCTTTGCTATAACAATCCATCATTTGTATTTAAACATGTGTATACACTGGACTAGGGAAAGATTTCCAGTTAATAACCAGAAGGCGAATCAAGGCCCGTTGCTGGCAGTCTAAGGAGGAGGGCAACTCAAGCCTTTATCTTTTGTTTTTAAACTAACATTTCTTTTCAACATGTGGATCTAATTACAGCATAGATTAGGAGCAGTAATAGTGATCCCCTTAAGAAGCACTAATGGGGTCTATTTATCAAAGCCAAATTTTCAACTACCTCCCATCGATCTAGCTGACGAAGATTTAAGCTCTTAAATGTTTAAGTGCAAAATCCCACATTTCCACTTTCATATAGGCTGGTTACGGTAGTTTGCAGTTACTTGACTGGTGCATGCAAATACAAGTTACAGAGAGAGAGGAATGCAGTAAAAAACTGGCCCCCTCTGTCCATGCAGAATTGTTGCTAATGCTAGCCAAAGAAGAATGACGCCCAATGAGCACATACAAATGGCTTGTTCCAGCACACCACAGAGACAGGACTTTGCATGCGTAAGTGCAATGCAGGACAGGTTGTTCCGGAGAACCTGATCATGTGAATGATGCTGCGTGGCTGTCAAGCTGCTTCCACCAGGTTGCTGGAGTAAGGCTTAAGGAGCAAGCATGAGAAAGATCGCACTTAAGCCTGTTTCTCCCCAAACATGTTCATTCCCCTTTTTTACCATGTGCATTTGCGATTCAGGAAGTCGGATCACAATGGGTTTTGTGGCTTGCTAACATTCAGTGCGGGCGACTACACTTAGTATGTAACTTTACGTGCACCTACTCATTGCCTCCACTTGTACTTGAGCTGGAAAGCAGCAGTTTTGTGGAGGATGCACGGCCCTGTAAGATAAAGTATGCAAAGATGGCCGTTGTACTTCTGCCATCCCTGGCTGGCTGTGCCAATCTAACCTCTTGGCATAACTTAGAGCAGCCTTCAGGCTGCTCTAAATCATGCCAACTACCAGTCCCCCCACCAAATACTAATACAGTAGCCATTGAAGAGTTGGATATCAGGATGTCTCGACCAACCTCTCTTAGTTTTGGCTATGTCCCTCACACTGACCCTAAGGAGGTGGGAGAAGTGGGAGAAGCTACATCAACCCTCTGGCACCAGAAAATGTTTCTCCAGTGGTGTTACCCTTCCCTGGCTGGCTATACTACCTTCAGTGATGATTTGTGCTGGCGGTGCAGCACAAAGTCAACAGCCAGCTGGCACTTTCAAAGAACTCTCTGATGTCTGGAACCTGCTCATGTTCAAGTTTCCTAAATGGCAGAGGTTGCTTGCAGAAGCTTACCTACTCCTAATGAAGTCACTGGTAAAATTCTCATTAGCTTTCATGGGTTATGGGTGGGCCATAAATATTCTGTAAATACGAGTAATTGCACTGAAATCCAAGTGCTGTGTGGAGTTAAGTATTTCCAGATGAAATAAATGTTTTTCTTTTCCAGTAAGGTGTTCTGATGTATTGGGATCAATACAGGAGTAAGTGGGGGAAATTATAGGACCTGATAGACAGGTCAGACTAGATAATCGCATGGTCCCTTCACTCCTTAAACTGTATGAATCTACACAGGTTTAAGACAAATACCCCTCTCAGTATAGTGTGTCTTTTTGAACAGATCAGCAATATCGGACAGAGTGTGTATATATGTAAAATACACATTCCTGCCAGAAAAATAAATCAAATCTCACAAAGCAGGTAATTATGGGTGCAGCCTTGAAATGCCCTTTGAATATCCACCACAGAAGCACCACATTACAGATTCTGTCTCCAAACAGAGGCCTGTTTGAAAGTAGCACAGCAATGTTTGGGTATTTCGGGAATGTCAGAACATTTAGTTCACTCAAAAAAGAAAAATCTTCCATTAAGGCACATAATGAAGTCAGACGAGAAGCTACTCACAGCAAACAAACCAGGATCCAGGTGTATCTGAACTCTGTAATTCTCTATGCGCTGTTCATGTTGTTAATATACATGCACCTGGGGCAGAATGATAGGCACATTCAAAATATAAATGAAAAGAGGACACTCGAGATTCCGCAGCACTTGTGCACCATGGTGATGAGCATGAAATAGACAGAGAAATGGGTACAAGACCCACAGATAGATAAACATCGTGGCTCACAGTAATGTAGAAAAAAGGGTCCAGACTCTTATTGCAGGAGGTTCTGGTGCATCAGGGCATAGATGCAGAGCTGATCTGTGCAGCATTCAAAAGTACTGCCTATTTTTAGTGCCTCTATGTGAATGTCTGCTTTGAACAGGTCAAAAGCCCATGCCCTGAGAAGCTGCTCTCACTCTCTTCAATTGGGTGGAAGCAACTTGCTCACAGGAAGGGAATATTTTCTGCCAAGCCCTGTTTTTCCTCGGGCAAAGAGATTACCTTGTGCAGCTACGGGATGTTCTTTTTTGACTCAGAGACGTGACCTTCTGTGCTTTTCTTTTTTTTTTTAAATATCGGATGCTATTCAATACTCTTGCAGAAATTAATCAGCTGGTCAATAATAATCCCCTGATTTTTTTTAATAATAAAGGAACAACCCATATTTAATCATAGAAAGAGGAGAAGGGTAAGCAGTGAGCTAACCCAATAAGGGCTCTCTTAGGATCTGGAATATTTGCTGGCAGGTATTAGCTTTGAAATAAGGGCCAAATCCTTAGGTCTGGCCAAGACCTGCTCGGTGAATAGGCTGGGTGCAGGAGAGGAAAGGGGGCTGTAAACCTCCCCAGCCTGCTGTAGACATGTGCTCTGTGTCTATGGAGGGCAGTGTGAGAAACAGCTAGCTAAACTAGGGAAGCCCCCAGCTGTCCCTTTAAGGCAACTTTCCAGGCGCTTCATGCTGCCTGAGCAATGGAAAGCAGCCAGAAGAGGAACCAAGGATCTGACCCAGTAATCACATACTGTATCCCTACAGACACACACTATATACACGGGCAGTAACAAATCCACTTACCTCCTTCAAAGCATGACAAGGCATTGTTAGCTAATTCGTAGTAACTTCTGTCATGCGGGAAATGGTTGTGATATGATTAGTGTGTGAAATCAGACAAGAAAACAGCCTCTCTGAAGGAATACTAGTGAAGTCTATTCAAAATTCCAGCAGGCAAAGTATCAGGAAAAGGGAAAACACACACCGAGGTGTGTGCATGCATGTACTTAGGGATTACTATCCTGAGTTGTGCCAATTGATTTTTCACTTCATTTCTTCCGTAACATTTCGGACAAGAAGCCCAGACATCTCCAGGAAACAGGAACGCTATGTGTAATACAGAATAATTCACCATACCTCAGGGCTCCAAGCGGATGAGCTGTCAGTTGCGTCATTTCCTTCAAATCCCTGGTTGCTGAACGCTGTCTCCATTTGCAAGCTCCCTTCTGTGGCTTGTTGGCTAAGGCTATGGGCAATGCTAGCCTCCATTCCAGGGCTTTTGGCTTGCATGGTACCCCTACTCTCAGAGGTAGTTCTTGAATCAACAGATATGTAGTCATCTTCATTATAGGATAGGTTGTCTTGGAAACTCAGTTGGCTTAGCCCATCCAGTTCTAACAATATTCAGCAAGAAAATTATTTCAGAGTGATTAAAATAACGTTCTTTCCCCCCCCTAATTTATCCTTTTTTCCCCTCCACTACAGTAGGAGCCTGGCAGGAACAGCTCTGCTTACGAGACGGTGAGATCCCTGGCATTGAACCCACAAAAATCAACAACCCGCATAAATCAGCATTGCAAGGAATAAAAATGGCTGCTCTCCTTCTGCATCCTGAGCAGGGAATCAACCTCCCTCACACAAAGAAAGGCATCGGTCACACAGGATGATCAGAGGGACATTTGGGAATACGGTGCTCAGGACGCCTACCGTATGAAGGCATCACCAGTCAAGAGGCAGATCAGGCATGAAATGGAAAAGCATAATGCACGGGCCTGATCCTGAGAGAAGGGTGTGGTGGAGGGAAACCATCACAATTTCCTCTTCTTAGGTGGTGGGAAGCAGCACGGCGGTCAGCACAGCCCAATAGGAGCACAGTACCGATAGGGACAGGGGCATGGTGTGGGGCGCTTGATAGAATGCCTCCCCTCTCACTGCATCTCTCACCTGCAGAGCTTTGGTTAAAGCTGCTCTCCAACCAAATGGAAACTCTGAGGAAGGTGGTAATGTTAACTCGACCAGTCTGAGCTTGGGTCAAACCCTCCCTGGGACACAGGGATGCTCATCAGTGCAGGGAGATGCACATTACAACTCTCCGGCCTCCCCAGGACAGCTTTTATGCATTTGACCCAACATGTCTATCCCACATGTTAGACGATGGAAATGTTACTCACCCTGACCAGTAACTGTAGTTCTTCGACATGTGTGTCCCTTTGGGTGCTCTACTTCAGGTGTGCATGTGCCTCTCAGGTCCTTGGCTGGAGATTTCTAGCAGTGTCCATTTGGCCTCCATATGCGCCCTATGCCTCAGCAAACACCAAGGCTATTTACAGGGGTGCAGGAAAACCGCCCTCAGTTCCTTCTCTACCCAGGTGTCCCCGAGGGAACAACTGAAGCAGAGGGGAAGGAGGGTGGGTAGTGGAGCACCCAGTGGGACACATCTCGAAGAACTCCAATTACTGCACCGGGTGAGTAATCTTTCCTTCTTCGAGTAGTGTCTCAATGGGTGCTTCACTTCAGGTGACTTCTGAGCAGTATCCCAGGAGGAGAAGGGAGCTTCAGAACAGAGTCCAGAACTGAAGATGGTGCTACAGACCCAAGTACCACATCGGATCTGATGGCATGGAGCAGGCAGTAATGCTTCAGAAACATACCGAAGTCCAAGTAGTGGCTCTACATATCTCAGATACTGGAACATTCTTCAAAAGTACAGTAGATGTTGCTTGTGATCTGGTTGAAGTTGCTCTCACCCCCTGAGGGGGCTGAACACCAGCAGACTCATAACAGGCAGAGACTCAACTCGATATCCATTTCGAAAAATGTTTGAGCAGAGATAGAAGCCCCCTTAGAGCTATCTGCGCAGGAGACGAAGAGTCTAGGTCAGGGGTAGGCAACCTATGGCACGTGTGCCAAAGGCGGCAGGCTCTGTATTTTAATTTAATTTTAAATGATGCTTCTTAAACATTTTAAAAACCTTATTTACTTGACATACAACAATAGTTTATTATATAATATAGACTTATAGAAAGAGACCTTCTAAAAACATGAAAATGTATTACTGACACGCAAAACCTTAAATTAGAGTGAATAAATGAAGACTCGGCACACCACTTCTGAAAGGTTGCCGACCCCTGATCAAGGTAATCTCCTAAACTGCTTATTCCCATCCAGGTAGAAGAGCAAGGCCTTTCTAACTTCCAGGGTGTAGAAATAGAATTTCTGCTAAGAGCTATCGGGTTTTGGAAATAATACTGGAAGATGGATAGACTGGGTAAGATGAAAATCCGATGGTAGGATTTTCCTACCTAACCTTTGGTAGGAACTGAGGATGTGGACGTAAGGAACATTGTAAAGGGTTCCAATCTCCCTGACCCTACAAGCCGATGTTATGGAAACTTAGAAGGCCATCTTCACAGATAAATCAAGTAAGCAGCAGGTTGCCTTTGGTCTGAATGGAAGTCTCTTAAGGCGGTTTAGAACCAGGTTAGGGTCCCTAGATGGGGTGAGGTGCCTAATGTGAGGGAAGAGATTCCATAGGTCCTTAATAAATCTAGACAATACCGAGTGACCAAATATAGAGAATCCCTTGACCGGGGGATGAAAGGTTGATATGGCAGCCAGGTGTACTTTGACCAAGCTGATGGATAACCCAGATGTCTACCTGCTGGATCTGAAATCTAGGATGAGGGAAAAGGGAACCAATTCAGGCTGGAGGTAGCGACAACTGCACCAATAGATGAATCTCCTCGATTTCTGTAGGTAAGCAATGAAGGTTGGTGTTTTCCTACTGTTTAATAACACCTGCTATACAGCCAAGGTCCATCTGTTCTGAACCATGAGTGCACCGAAGTTGGCTCCTCATCCTAACAGGGATGAGTCAGTTATTAGAGTCAATGATGGAGTTGGGCGACAGAAAGGGATGTCCACTGTCACCTGCCTATCTAAGGAGTCCTTCCTTGGAGAGTAGATTGTTCTGAGCCCACCTTTAAGGCAATGGAGGTGAAGCCTTGTGTGACTGGTCACAAAAGTGCAAGCTATCATATGGCCCAAGAGTTGAAGTCAGTTCCTTACTGTGTGGTCTAAGACGGGGTTTCTCTACTGTGTTATGAACCTCTCTTGGAAACCCCCAAACTTGGCACCATGATGCCCTGAGCATAACTGCCGCTGTAGAGATTAATCTGGCAGCAGTGTCTGCAGCATCTAGAGACATTTGGAGAGCTGTTCTGGCCAACGACTGACCCCCTGCAACTGTGAACTGCAGTTGTTCCCTGCAGTCATGTGACAGCTGCTCAATAAAAGCCGTGAGCTTGTTGTAATTAGTAAAGCTTTATTTGGCCATGACCACCTGGTAGTTTGTGATATGGAACTGCGGACAAGTAAGACTTTTGTCCAAAGAGATCCAGCTGCTTTTGGTCCTCATCATAGGGAGTAGATCCCAAAAAGTGCTGCCTACCAAATGCATGCCCCTCATCCATCATGAGGGAGTTTGGTGGTGGATGGGAAAATAAAAAGTCAGAATCCTTAGGGGCACATATAGTACTTGTTATCTGCTCTTTTGCACACTGGTAGAATAGTGTCAGGTGTTAGCCACTTAGCGGGGACCAGGAGAGCCTCATTAATAGGTAGCGCCACTCTGGCGGGTGTTGCCAACTGCAAGATATCCAGCAGCTTGTCTTACAGATCCTTGACCACCTCCAGAGGGATCTACAGAGTGTTTGCCACCGTTCTCATGAGATCCTGAAACTGCCATCAGCCATGGAAAGTGGTGGAGGCATAACTGACTCATCCGGCAACGATGAAGAAATGGGAGTCTCAGGGGTAACTTCATCAGCTCTCGCCTCCTGCTCTTCTAACATCTCTTCCTGTCGTGGCAGATGGGGAGGGGAAGGATGTGAAACCCTAGTGGATGGTATTAGTGATCTGTTAAATTGCTGCCAATAGGCAGCCCATGGGTCCCAATGTGGCCACGGCAGGGGTCCATAAGGAAGCGGGGGTGGCATGCAAAGCTGGTTCCATCATCTTTGGTGACCTGCAAGGGCCTCCCTGTGTGAGGGCAGATTCCTGAAGGGGTATGTAGGACAACCCTTCACTGAGATTGAGGAGACCACTTGGGAGTCCTCGTCGTCTTCCTCCACATCCTCCCATGGGGCAGCCATTGAGGATGCAGGAGAGTCTTGTACCACAAGATGGCCGCTTGGAGACCAAGGTCTCAGTACCAAGAAACGTTCAGTACCCGTCAACAAGGACTCTGGTTCATCTGACCCCGAGAGGTACCTTGAGTATTGGAATTCCTGTGATACCGGAAAGGACCCTGGTACTGACACCGTAGTCGTCGTTGCTGTAGCTGAAGCCGACAGCATCAACAATGATGGGCATTCAACAGGCATTGTAGATGTCAGGCACCATTACTTGCTTGGTACAGATGATACCGCTTGCCCTGGCTGACCTGCTTGCATCAGTACTGGTGGCTGGGTTAAGGCACATGATGGAACCAACGGCTGAGTGAAATGCTTTGCAGTTGATGACAGGGGTGAACTCGATGGTACCCTGTCCTCACCCTCCTAACTGGTGGAGGGTTCTGGTGCTCTATCTTCTTGTATTTGGAGCTCCGGGACTTACAGGCCTGCTGGTACTGGAGGAAGAGTTCTTGGCCGCAACGGTACCCTCTAAGTCTGAGGACCTCAACAGGGACCTGGTCTTTTCTTCAGCTGACTTCTTAGAGTAAGAGTCCATGGTCCCCTTTCTGGGAGTCTTCCCAGCAGGCTGCAAAGACTTCCCTTTCTTAGGGGAAGAATGCCTCAAGGTTGCCACTGGAACAGTCTGAAGACAGATGTATTGCGGGGAGGGGAAGTCTCCTGACCTGTCCCAGAGGGAAGTTACAGGGAGCATTCCAAGGCTAACAGTCTGAGCTTTAGCTCTCTGTTCTTCCTCACCCGCGCCTTAAGGGCCAAACAGAAGGAACACTCCCCTAGGCAACAGACATACTTGGAGTGCCCGTCGCTTACCGATATAGCCTTTGGGCAAGAGAGGCAGTGTTTGAAGCCTGGCGAGCCAGGCATTCCCCACCCAGAGAAGACAAGTGTCCCACAGAGAAGGGAGAGGGAAAACAATCCTCTCACCTGAAACTAACTATATTAAACACTAAACACAAACTTACAACCATAAACTACCTAACTGCAAGAAAAAACAGAGGGCTGAGTATGCTCTAGGTGGACATGCTAGGTTTCCGTCTCAGGCCAAGGTGATAGAGAAAGAACTGAGGATGGTTCACCCGTGCACCCCAGATAGCCTCGGTATCTGCCACAAGGTGGCATAAGGCTCATGTGCAGGCCGAACGGGCACTCCTAGCTAGAAATCTTCTATCACAGGCTCGAGAGGCACATGCACACCTGAAGTGGAGCACCCACAGGGATACTACTCGAAGAAGAAGGTTAATTATTGAGGGTAAAATTATCTTTCTTTGTCCGAACAGTGAATTTCTTATCTCCAAAGTGAAGATCTCCAGCACTTGTTCCTCTCCCCACACAGAATCTGCACTGGCAACTGCACGAGTTCTGCAGGATACAGTGTGGAACCCGGAGGAAAATTCCCTCTTTGTTTAGGCAGATTCCATTTATAGTTTAATCAGAATCATTTTGTTGCTTAATCAGAAAAACAGATATCTTCTGATTTTATACTTGTGAAACTAAAGGCAGGGTTTGTTCCAGACATAAATAAGCTTTACAGTGCTATAACTCATTTTCCTTCCTTGAAATAAAATTAGTTACACAACCGTAATGCTGGTAAAAGTGATGAAATCAGAATGAGGTTCACTGTATTTACATAACCAGTAAGCCAAAGCCTTTTTTTTTTTTAATCTTAGGGATTTGTTTTCTAGTTCCTTCCAAGAACTGCACCATTTGTGTGGAAAGCAACATGATTTTTACTGTTATATTTTTACTCAATTTCTTCTGCAAATATAGAAACAGAAAATAAAAGCAAAAGCAAGAAGGCAGAACAAGCAAGAAATAAAAGAAATGTCTGTATACAAATTTACTGAGACTGTACAAATATGGATTCTCCTTAAGGTGTTTAATTAGCAAGCCAGTGTCTTAGACACATTTTAAACAGGTGGTCATCCATCAAAGCATACACCACGCAGCAGACTTTCAGATAAAACATAACTGTAGTAATAAATTATCCCCAGGCAATTGTCTTGTGGTTTTTGACTCCTGCCAGGATAATATCTAGATCAATAATAGAGGAATTTTGAAAGGCTTGAAAGACTATTCATAATTGGAATACTCCAGAAATATATTAATATAACAAAAAACTTTCTTTAAGTGTTATGAAAGCAAATGTGTTATACAAGGCAAGTTTCAAGGGAAATAAAAGAAAAGTGTGATTCACCATTGACTACTTTATGGAACAGTCTGGTTATTTCTTTAAATTTACGGTAGTCCTGTCAGTGATAACTGCTCGTGTATATGTGAGGGCATACTTTGACATTGTAAGAAGTTTAGCAAAAACATCTGTGCCAGATCAGAGAAGAACTTACGAAGAATGAACTCACTGTACCATGGACAATTATTTATGGGGAGAAAAAAAAATCACGGACAAATGAAGAGGTATTGAAGGAGAAAGGAAGTACTGAGGTTCCAGTTCTCAAAAAAGCAAATGGCCTGATCCTGGCTAGTATAACCACAAAAGTCTACTACTCTCATCACAACACAACTAATGGGCAAGAGAAACATTGGGGATCATCGGACAATGGAACCGATTACCAAGGAATGTGGGAAAATTCTCCATCGCTTGGCAGCTTTAAGATTGGATAGCTTTCTAAAAGACATACTATAATGTGACTACAAGTTGTTGGGCTGGATGGAGTCATCACTGAGTGAAATTCTGAGGCTTGTATCATGTAAGATGTCAGACTAGATGATCACAATTGTCCCTTCTGGTCTTAAAATCTATTCATTTTTTAGGGTGATACAAGGATGGATTTAAATCAGCAGAAAGTTTCAGCTGAATATCAGGGAAATCTTCTTACCAACAAGATGTATTAGAACATGGAATAATCCCTCCAGGTTAATGATGGATGCTCCAGCATTTGAAACTGTGATGAACTGGGAATATATCTATACAATTTATGAATTCTGTGTGAGATTATGAATCCTGCATGTCTGTGTCAGGTTGCAAACTCCATTTTGAATGTGCGGCCTTTTGTCTTCTCTATGATCTGTTTGCCTCCATGCTGAGTTGAAAATTCCAAAGGCTGGCAGCAAATGACGGACAGTAGACGGTAATTGACTCCTATGCTCCGAATTGTTCGCTATCTGCTCACTCTAGACATAAGACTGATCCCTGCCCAGAAGAACTGGTTTAGCAAGGAGGAAGTCACCTTGGCAACAAAGTCACCTAACAGATTTATGCTCATATGGTGAAGCTGGCAAGGCAGTCACCTGACATGGGGGCAGGAGAGGGGCTGAAAATTTTAAAAGGGCAGAGGTTGATCGGCTTGGAGCCCATTTTCTTCAATCCATAAGAGAGAGACCACTTACCATGTAACAGTCTGCATGAGACAGGGGACACACTGTCTGCCTGGACCCAGATAGTTCCCCCAGGACACACAAGGAAAAGCGAGGGGCATTGCAGTTTCCAATGTTTATTGTTTTGAATGATCTGTCCTTTCCAGTGTCTTACGTGATTACGATAAAGAGCATAAAAGTGTTAGACTGTGCAAAGCGTGCACACACATGTGCGTTGATAGCCTCACAACTGCTGTGTGCCCCTGAAAGAGTTAAACTGCAAACCAGAAGCTTTGCATCTTCGGGGTGGGGTGGGGTGCTGGGAGAGGGTGGGTTTAAGTAACTGGGGCATCTTGGGGGAGGAGGGGTTCAGCCCTGATCCTGGGGCCTACGGCAGGTGAGCGGAGTAGCCCCATTTCTGAGAAGGGGGGTAACTGACTGAGTCAGTGCCCAGGAAATGTGCCAGAGAGCCCAAGAGAGGAACCAGTGTTGCTGCCTGCTGAGGCCCCTGAAGCTTAACACACCGCAGAGGATCCAGCGCCTTGTGAATGAGGAGAGCCAGATGCTAAGCTCTTAGGAGGCTGCTGCTTTGTGGCTAGCTGGCCACTCCCCTGTCTTGTAAGTTACAGCACACCCTCTATAGCCCACACGGGAGGAGGCATACCAGGAAGAAGGGAGTGTGGACAGAATACACCATGCACCAGCATTTTGGGACCACTGCAAACAGTTAGAGAGCAGCTACTTTTGCTGCATGGCTGGACTGGAGGATCAGGACATGGGTAAACTGTAGCTAGAGAGATGGGAAAGATAAACCCCATATAACTATCTCCACCCTGCAGCATCGAAAGAGGAGATGAGAGAGTAGGGTGACCAGACGTCCCGATAAAATCGGGACTGTTCCGATTTTGAGGAGTTTGTCCTGCGTCCTGACCGAAGCACGCTCGGGATGCCATTTGTCCCGATATTTTGTTTCGGGGTTTTTGGTTTTTTTTATACATTCACCCGTCCGGGGTCTTTGGCAGCAATTCAGCGGAGGGTCCTTCAGTCACTGACGGTCTTCGGCGGCATTTCAATGGCGGGTGCTTCTCTCTTTGGTGGGAAGGTTCATTACTTGCCGCCAAAATCCCGCCAAAGACCGTCAGCGATTGAAGGACCCTCCGCCGAAATCCTGGACAGGTGAGTGTAACACTTAAAAAGGTGCGTCCCCTCTGGCGGTCCTGATATTTTCAACTTAGCATCTGGTCACCCTATGACAGAGAGAGAAAAGGAGCAAAAGGAATGAAGGCAACAGAGTATTTAACAAAAGGCACTTTCCTGGGTTACTGAATGTCCCAACAGGAGATTGTGCAGTTCCTCACCTGATTGTGTTAATACTCGTGATAGGGGATAAAGCATAACGCACTGGAAGGCTTCTGAGGATCTGATCCAGGGAAGCTGGGTGCCATATATTCTGTGCAGCTCAAGAGGGAGAGGGACAAAGGTGATTCTCCACCATCTCTACACTCCTCTCATCCTGGAGCCAGCCAGGGGCCAAGCTGGATACTGGCATAAGCAATAGCAGCCTCAGGGCTTCTCTAATTTATACCTACCTCCCTTTGGCCTCAAGAGGCCATTTCACCAACTGGGAATAACAAGAATGTAGAGACTATGGCCACACCCCCTTCCCCATCGGGAGTTAGGGGGTTGGGTGGCCTATACCTGCAATGGTGACTCTACCTCAGCCATGGATTCCCCAGGCTGAGGGAATCCTCCATCATGCAGTCAGGCTAGCAGTACACTTGACTGAGGATCTGAGAATATCTAAAACATAAATAAGGGGGTGTTATTTGGAATAAAGGGCTTGATCCTGCTTCCATTAAAAGTAGACAGCAGAATTCCCAGTAACTTCAGTGAAAGCAGGACTGAGCCCTAACAGTTTTTTTAACACTTATAATAATTATTAAAATAGTACTAATCCTAATAATTTTGGTTTATAAAGACAACAAAGGAAGTAACTGTAGTCCACATTATGATCCAACAGCAGTTCTACAGAGGGGCCTAAATCAAAATGAGCATAATAATGAACAGGTAACTAAATATTTCAGAATCACAATTGTTTTGTGCAACTAAAACCACACTGGCAGTTTCCTGAAACTTTCCCAGGAAAGGTTCTCCCAGACATGTCCTGAATTATAGAATCTCATTGTGCCGATCAATTTCGCGCTTGGGTAAATGTTCTAAAACCATACATGTTGGTTTGGAATATACAAAAGCCACTTACAATAATAGACGATTGGTCAAAAAAATGTTCCCTTTGGTACTCTAAATGTTTGCCTTCTGTCATTGCCTGTCATGTAGTGTATGCACTGGTGAATGATACTACATAACTCATTTGCTATTTACCTGGTATTTGCAAAGCTACTATTAAAGAAACATGCAATTTCTATTCAAAGGCTTGCTAAAACACACCGTATTGATAAGAAATGCAGTTCAACAGATTTCATCAGGCCAAGTCCTGCAGTCCTTACTCAGACAAAACTCCCACTGAAATCCACGGGAATTTTGTCTAATGATTAAGGAGCCTAATCTAAAATCCATGTAAAGTTAATGGAAAGATTCCCATGGACTTCAGTAGGATTTGGATCCAGCTCTAAGTACTTTAGGAATAAGCTGCAGATGGATTTTAGCCTGAGCAGATCAGAACCAAGGCTGCCTCTTCCCCAAAATAAAAGGATTCTCTCCATGTTAGGTGGCTGTGGATTCAAAGCAAGTGTTTTAATGCTCATTTGAGACAGACAATACCTTCGCATTCAGATGCCTCGGTACTGTACTCCTCATGGTTGGACAGCAAGCGGTTGAATTTAGGATTACGTTCTGAACCTGCTTGTGTTGCCTTTTCAGACACCCCCGACCGAAAACTCTGTGAGCGCGACACAGAGATCGCAAACTGTTTAATCACCTCGTCGTCGCTATCTGAAGATGTGGTTAGCTCTTCATCCTCCCCATAACTGTTCACTGGGAGAAAAACACAACACAGGCTTTTGACAATTTCACAGGACTTGACACAGAAGTAGGAAAACATGGGACATTTTCAGTTCAGATATTTACTTTGGGGGGGAAGGAAAAGGAGAGCAATAAGACATAACTACCATGGGGGAGCTGATGAGGAGGGCACGTTCCCTCAGACTTTTTGAAATCTTTGTGGTGCCTCGCTGTGTCTGCAGGAATCACACATTGTCACTCCTGGCTTCCCATCCTGCAGATCCCCCAACTTTTTAAAAATGTGATTGTTCCTCCCACACCCAAAACCAAAAAACCCGAAAACCATTATCCATATATAACCATTAGCATGTGCGGAGCCAAAGTAGTAAACACGGGGCTCTAAAACCTTCTCAGCATTCCAATAATACCTCCACAGCCCTCTGAAACAAATACTACCGAGTGCAGAAGAAAGAAAACAGAGGGTTAATCTACTCTTGGGTTACACCACAAAAACGAAATTACAGCATCTAGCTAATAGGCATCACCAATTCTGCATGTCAGAGTCAGCAGAGGAACCTTTTGAGAACAATGTAAATTCTAACCTTTAAAGATGAAGATACACATCTGAACATTTTGCTGTAGCTACCCTTCCCCCTCCTACTGACAATGCTGGCTTTGAATATGGGATCACTGCGTTCTCATTAGTGTTTGAATATCCTTTGTGGGAGGCGGGGGGAAGGGATCTGATGTCCCATACTTGGCCTGCTTTTTCAAATGAAAATGGAGATGAAAGTACAATGCCACATTGCAGGTTCCCCAGCCATCTGTATCAGGGGAAACAGCATAGGAGGAAGTTTTCATTTGTGAACTTGTGGGGCCAAGGGAGTTGTGGGTGTAATGGACAGCTGGAGTGTGTGTGTGTTTGTGTGTGCATGTGAACACACCAGCTGTCAAGTGTGTTACTATTTTGTTACTTACTCTTGAGGATAAAGAACACAACAGTGGCTGCCAAGATTTGTTTCAATAATCCCCATTGCATATCCAAGCCGCTGAACAAACGAACAATGCATGCAAGTGCAAAAAGGTGGGGCCATTTCTCCATGCCAATGGCTGATTTTTGAGGTGAAATCTAGCTTCATCGATATCCCACTCATACCCAGCTACATAGCTACGATTAGGGAAATAGGACCCTGCTTCCACACATCCAGACTCCATTAAGTGTGTCCAATACTAATCCAATTAGAACTACCCCCACTGCTTCTCAAACCTACCTCCTTTCATGACAGTTGCAGTAGGCCTGCCGTCTATCCCTGGTCCCTAGGGGACCAGGACAAGGTAGCTCTCAGGGGCTGTGAAATTTGCTTCCACCAGGAATCTATCAGAAACTGAATCTTATTATGTTGAGGTTTTATCATCAGATTTGCCTCTGTTGTCTGTCTTTGAGTAATATTGCCAATAAGACCAGTATTGCTTTCAGAAATTGGTCTCCTGGTAGGTAAGTGGTATTTGCCTATGCCTCAGGGGAAATCTCACTACTGTGGGGAGAAATAAATGTCCCCTACTTTGAGAAAATACACTATTTTAATTGTGTAATAGTTGTTTTGTAAATGGCACTCAGTTACCAATGCTGTATCAATGAGCCCTCCTGAAATTTTAATAAGTTAAAAGGGCTTTCTTATTTTTTTACAGAATTGAGCAGGGACAGGACATCTAACTGTTGAGGTCAACTCAAGCTTTATAAATCTCTCACAATATCATGTACTGCATTAAATAAGTATCTGTATTATTTCCAGTTTTTCCAATGGGGTGAATGCAAGTAGTTACGTTTTCCCCCCCAAAAGTCAAGTACTCTCAGTTTCTGTTGCACAGAAAGTTTTTGCCTTAATTACTTTTGGTTTCAGTTTAGCTAGCAGGTGCAGAGAGAACATTTGCTTCATTCAGACTTGTGCATTTAAAGTTGAGATGAAAAAGCAAGAAAGTGTTTTCATCAGTATTTTCATTAATAACTTGGAAAATGGAGTCAAGAATATGCTTATAAAATTTGCAGATGACGCCAAACTGGGAGGATTTGCAAGCACTTTGCAGGACAGGATTAGAATTCAAAACGACCTTGACAATTAGCGAACTGGTCTGAAATCAACAAAAATTCAATAAAGACAAGTGTAAAGTACTACACTTAGAAAAGAACGACTGGCTAGATGGTACCACCACTGGAAAGAGTATGGGGGTTATAGTGGATCGCAAATTGAATGCGAGTCAACAATATAAGTCTCTGCGTGGACCGTGCTACCGCACAGTTATAATTTGGGGATTTGTCAAGCAGAAGTCAAAGTGTAACTGCAGCACTTGTTATGATGTGGGGTGCTGTTTCTTAGCTGCATTTTTAAAAACATATGCTAATTAAATGCTAGAACTAGAGGCTCAAGAGCAAATGCCTGATATGACTTCTGCTGCTGAATCTTTGTCCTGGAAGGAGACAGCTCCGTAAGTTGTCACGCTAATATCTTTATATTAATACAACCAAGTTTACTCATGGGAAAGAAAAAACTCAACATTCAGATTTACAAATGCTCTGATTAGAAAGGGGGAAAAGCATTTTCAGAATCACCATGGAAACTTAAATAAAGGGCCCATGATTACGATCTAAACTCGTGAAAGATGATGAACGCATCTTGTGATTTGCAGATGTTGCGCAGTACATTCATTTTAACTCATTTACTCATACACACAGCCTATTTTACAAATCAAACCTCTGATCATTTCTAAAGGGGAGTTGGCAGTACATTTCAAATTACCACAGACATTTTTTGCAAGGAATTTCAAATACATGCTCAATGTGATATCTAGGTTACATACATTCAAATACTACACAGCTAAAAACACCCAAGAGAAATGGTCCAAGACTTCTTTATAGTTACCAAGTATAAAGAATCAAATATTTTTTATTCAAAGCCTATAAAGAAAAGAATGTATTTCACATATCTGATAAAATATATTGTGAATGGTGTAAAATGTATGTATTTTGCATACCGCCCTCCACTTGCATGTTATTAAATGATGGTTGTTTAAGCTGTGAGGTCAAGCACTTAGAACATAGGTAATGCCACATATATCCTTCCCAGGTAACCTTAATTCTTTCTTGTGTGTACCCATCCTGTGCTTTGAGAGACTGATCCTGCTCCACTGAAGTCAATGGGAATTTCATTATTGACTTCAATGGGAGCAGGATGATGCTCCGAATGAACAAGGGGTCCAGTGGCAAAAACAGTAAGCGACCAAGAAATTAAAGATTGTGTTGTAACGTATATGCATAATGCAGACACCTGGCAGATCACAAATGTTCTTAGTACAATGTCTGCTACAGCAGTGGCAGAGACATGGGCCGGACCGTAGAATGTTCATGCTCAATTATTATTTTCCTGTGTTGCCACAATTCCCCAATGGAACACTAGTGACAGAAGAGAAATGGTGATTTTCAATAGTTTATAACTCAGCAAAATCTGAACTGAATTCCATAGGACAATAGGGCGATAGTTCAAGGGCTTTACCCCTGCCAAATTTCAAAGTCTAGCTGCAAACAATGCAGGTGTTATAGTTTGTCAAAACAAAGGTTGAAGGAATCTTTTCTAATGGAAACGTAAGGCAACCTAAACATAGATGTCACTACCAGTTCCCTCTATAATTACAGGCCTGATCTTCAAAGGGCCTCAACTTTGTCTACACTTGCACTTTTGTCGTTAAAACTTTTATCGCTCAGGGATGTAAAAAAACACGCCCCTGAACGACAAAAATTTTAACAACGAAAAGCACTGGTGTGGACAGAGCTTCATCATTCAGAGCCACGCTCCAGGCGACGAAGCTACCGCCCCTCGTTGGAGGTGATCTTATTTTGTCGCCAGGGAAGCCTCAGACTCTCTTTTTACACTTTCAACCAACTGCTAGTACAACTAATTGGAAGTGCAAATGAGGGAATGTAGACATTTGACTACTTGACCTATAGCTACAATCAGGTAGTTAAGTGTCCATGTGCCTTCGTTTGTGCTAACAATTACTTGTGGACCCAAAATGATTGTCAAAAAGGAGACCTGGTTTAAAAAAAAGTCAGGCCTAAAATGTATTTCAAATATATAGAAACTGGGCCTCTTTGTAATATATTAAAGCTGTACCATTTCAGGATGGTGTTTTTTGTGAATTTAAATACTGTGAAGAGTGCCTGATTCAGGTAATGCACCTGCAGTGGCAATAGAAGCTTCCATCCCTACCAATGTAACTCAGCCCTTAGAAGGACTTGGACATTGTATGCTCTCTAGTGAGCCTGTCAACAAGAATGCAAATTAGTGCCAACTGTTCAGTCATGCTATATGCACCCGATAGGTGAGTGACTGTAACATCTTATTGCTGCACTCGGCCCACTACCTTGACTGAGTAGAGCTAAGCAAATAACTGACTTTCTGGGTTAGTGGCCGAACTGAAAAATCCTAAACAAAACAAAAGAAGTGGTTCATTCTGAATCAAACTGATATTTTTTTCTTGCCAAAACAACATCCAAATAAATTTTGTTCAGTTTGAACAAAACAACATTTCCAAAATGAAACGGTTCATTTTGAAACAAAATGTTGAAATGGTCCATTTAAACAAATTTCACTGTTTTAGAATACCAAGGTTGGAAGGGACCTCAGGAGGTCATCTAGTCCAACCCCCTGCTCAAAGCAGGACCAATCCCCAGACAGATTTTTGCCCCAGATCCCTAAATGCCCCCCTCAAGGATTGAACTCACAACGCTGGGTTTAGCAGGCCAATGCTCAAACCACTGAGCTATCCGGAAACATTTTCCTCATTTTTATTTAGCTGAAACTATTCCTAGAATTTGATCCAAATTCACAAATAGTTTCAGTGGCCCCCAAAACTGTATTTTTTGGTTAATTTACTATATACTGAACATTTTTTGCCAGCTCTAGTCATGAGTCAGGTTCCTTCCAGTCAGGGACCTTGTACAAGCTATATACAACGTGAAGCACCTACTATAGTTTGGA